GGGGGGAGGAGGGTGGGGCAGCTTGACTGACTGGCAACCAATAGAAATTAAAGGCATCTTCTTTTTGAGGTCTTATGCGCATAGGCACATAATGAGGACTACCAAATTAATGTTGTAAAAACAAGAAAGAGAGAGTAAAAACTAAATAAACCATGTTTAAGGAGTGACAAGAAACCAGCTAACCTGCATGACAGCAAGGCCTGTTCTTGACACTAGATTACCAGTAGCAAGGAAGTATTCCATTTGGTGTGAGATGTTTGTGCTGCGTGACATTGCCTGTAATAAACTAGCTGCATATGAAAATGAAAGACAGTGTGCAAGAGGAGTCAAAAAGAAATATAAGCTACAGAACTTCATCAGAGTCACTGCCAGAAAACTCAAAATTACAGTGCTGGTTATTTTATAGTACAAAGTCAAATTTGGTTTTGACCTGTCATCAAGAGGGCAATTTTTAGGCTAAACATTATTTTGGGGGGATTTTCTTAAAGTGGGAAGAAAAAGTGGAGGAAACAAAACAAAAATGGTCAAACTGTGGCCAAAGTTGTAAGAAGTTTAAGTTAAAAGTTTCTACAGAGTTCTTACACTTTTCATATCCGAACATGTCAGGATGAAAACTGCATCCACTGTAAGTACCTCACAAATCCTTAGAGGGACAATGGTAGATACTTACAGCCCGCATGGTTTCCACACTGTTTTGTCACTAAAATTCCTTTTCTGCAACTAATTTTGCAAAAAGCAATTCCTCTAATTTTAAATTTTCTTTATAAACTATGAACCAGCAGAGATTTCAAGTTCCTAATTATTACTTTTTTTCAAGACCTTTTCTATCCCCTCTGCAATTCTGAGCATGGAAAAATCAATGCAGTATTGCCCTATTCACTCCTTACCTGTATTCAAACTATAACTTTGTTTCTTTGTCATATCCTTTTCAATAGTAAACCGCACATTATACAGCCAGCTCTCTAGCTTTTCCTGCAGACAAACATGTAGACATGTTGCTATTCCATCTTCATTGTCACTAAATGTTATACTTGTACATGAAATAGCAACTGAGCCACTACCTGACCCTAACATTAGTATGCATATTCTCCATATTGTCATTTAAACATTTCCTGAAGTGCTGATAAGGAGAGAATCTTTAGTTGGTGATCAATTGCTATATTCTTGTGACTTTAATGTTTGATTCAGGGGTGATATTGTAAGGAGAAATTAGATGCTAGTCCCTCTTAGGGGATAAGTAGTCCCTACAACTAGAAGAGACCTTGTTCTAGATCCTAGAATTAAAATACTAAGGAAAGCCAATCATTAAAGGGGAACTGAAGCCTTAAATTGGTACTTTTTCTGCATTAATTTCTAGTGAGCTTTAGAAGAGTAAGTTAAAATCTTAGTGGTTAATTTCGTTTACTTCTTGTTTTTTATGAGAAAATTTGATTTGAATTCACCTTTTTCCCCCTCTTGCGGCTGTAAGACCGTAGGCTCAAAAATGATTGTTGGAACTAACTTGGGAAGGCCTCATATCATATTTTGTTTTCAAATTTGATTCCCAATACAAGCCACGCAACCTCAATAATTCCATAACCATACTGAAGTTCTGAAAGAAGAGAAAAGGCTTATTATTTTTCTTCCCCACCAGTGACATAATAGTGAGCTAAAATAACTGCTGATATCGTTTTTCTTAGCCACCATACTACAAGGTCAAAATATGACATAAAGCTATTTTTTTGAGATGAAGTTGGGCCCAATGACTGAATAAAACTTTTGAACATTGACATTTGAGCTATCTGCAATTTAAAAATGATTCAATTTTAGGCTTCAGTTCCCCTTTAAGCTATACACTTTGCAAATGATTAGTAATGAAGAAAAACAAAACATCATCTATGAAAAAATATTAAATTACTTTTACTCAGACAGTAGTCCGTGTAGTCTAACCAAAACAATTACTAACACTAATACTGTAAGAAGGAGAGCCCTGTCACAGTTCCAAGATAAAATTTTTTAAGTATCGTTCACCTTTTAAGATTGCACCAGTTTTCACTTGACACAAGAGAAACTGGAATCACTGAATGATTCAGATCTCGTTTAATACAATATATAACCTTGTAGATAGCAAACTACATTTGTAGATTTTCTTCCACACCAAAACAAAGTTGTCATGCAGCACATCACCTTTAAGATCATAAGATACAAATGTCCACCGAGAAGTACTTCTTGCATCATTGGATTATCTGAAGTTTCTTTTGCACACTTTTCAAAAGCAAATGCATACAGCTTTCTTGCCATGAAACTGCAAAACAAAGGGTTCAAAGGAATTCAAAAAGGAAATTACATCACATTTTAAGTTCACAATAAATGCAATGTGAAAAACAGGGAAACAATTTCTTTCAAACAGAAGTCGATTATACTTACATCAATAAATTAAACTTATCTACATCTCCATTCAGGTGAACACAAACACAGTTTCTGGGGATTAAAATGACATCACTCAAATTAAGCACACACAACAGATTTGTAACATAACCGCTCCAAAAATAATTATATTTCAGGTGTATTGACTTTCTGAAATACTGATTGATTCTTGGTTTATCCTCAAAAGCCCTTGCACATGAACACTTGCAGTCGGAAGGACAACAAAAGGAAAACCAAAAACGTCTTGGTAATATTGGCAGGATAACTCTTCAAACAGGACATAATGCTAAAAATCTACTGAGTTAAGCAATAACCACTGCCTGTTGTATCACTTGCCATATACTATTAGATTAGAAACCTTATTTCTTAGTTAACAGACTGTTAACTTCAGCTGCAACAACAAATTAACAATATTCAAGTTTTTTCAGTCACATCTGAAAACACCATGACTTTCAATAGCCTTTTTCTTAAATATTCTGACGTTTTCAACAACTGCCTAGTATATCTTGTGCCCATATAAATTTCACACAAGCAACTAACACAACAAAAAAAAACCACTCACTGGAGAACATATTGAGCTACAGCTTCATCAGAGTACCAGTCTGGAAACCTTCTTGCGATTCTGAATCTTTCACCTATTTTTACATAAAACAAACAACAAATAAAGGTGGCAAGCTTTGGAATGTGGGTGCAAACCACAGGGGTTAGGTTAGTCACTGATATAAAAATGACAACTTATTATGCTTAGTTACTGTTAGTATTCTTTTATTTTACTTATCATTCATATGTTGCACATAAAGCTGTATTTTGTGAAGGGTAAAATGAAAACCCAAACCATGCTTAGATGTAGGCCCTGCTTAATTGGGAGTTCTCCATCTCCAGGAGGCATAGAAGGGAATTATGGTTTTATTTTCCATAATCATTGATATATTTTCATTACACATATAAATTCAATAAATATATCTTATTAACCAAGCGCGAGGGCCGTACTGGGAGAATATTGGCCCGAGGTCTTGACAGTTTGGACTGAGCGCAGCGAGGTCCGTACAAAAAAGACTGAGGGCCGATATTCTTCCAGTACGGTCCCGAGCAAGCTTGGTTAATAAGAGATTTATTATACGACTGAAGTTCAAAGGAACACAAGTGCGGTATCATTCGGGACCATTCGGGACAGTGCCTGGTCCAATACTTAGAGAATATTGGACCGGCAATAGAGCATTTTGATTGGTTGATTTTAGTTATTGGCCCTCTGACTGCCCCAGTCGTGTAATAAGATTGTTTCTTACCAATAAATTTGAGTATCTTTTGTTGGGTAGTAGCTCCCTCTGATTGGGCTGATCTGAGCATTGTGGCTATGCAGCTTTAAAGAGAGCAGAGAAAATGTGAGGAAGAACAAAGATAAAAAAACAAATTTAGATAACTACCAACAAATAGTCATAAAGAGACTGGATACAAAGTTGAAATTTTATCTCGACATAATTATAAAAAACAGCTTAATATTTCTAGATGTTGAAACCAAGCTTGATCAGTGATGGATAGATCTCAGTAAAACAAACATACTTACTCTTTAAGGAAGCTGTTCTCTTCCTCTCCTGCCACGAGATGATGGTAGATTTGTTGATCTGTTGTTTTAACCAAGGCCTTTCATAAGAAAGAAAAAAGAAAAAGAAAAGAAAAAAAATCATTTACTGTTTAAAATCAACTCCTTTGCTAAAGATGCATAACCAACAACATGATACATATTGGAATATGTTAAACATTATGGGCAGGTTATTTAAACAAGGTCTAACCTAAACCAAAGTTTTACACCTCCACCAGAAGGCTGATTTAACTAAACAAATGTCCTTCCACTGTTGGCTTTTGGCCCTCCTTGACACTGTTCACAAAAATTAGTTTTCAAATCTAGATTGAAGATGGCTTAAAAGGTGGTTTTGTTAAACAACAGCTAAACTTTGTTTAAATAACCAGCCCTATAAGTACAACTTACTTTGAGAATGAAAACCAGTGGAACATAGAATACTTCTTTTTCAAGGGTAATGGCTACCATTATACTTCCATCAGACAGATAATGAAGAATCATACTCTAAAAGACAATGAAAAAAGTACCAGGTATAAAAACAATGATCAGCTCTTGAACACTGCAAATGTTGGCAACTCCCTTAACCCATTAACCAATTAACCAATAGCTGCAGCTTTTGTGAAAAACTGTTTTGAAGCTAGTTGAGCAGATTTTGGATCACTGTTGTGGTTTTAAAAGCTCAAACTTACCACAAACCCATTCACAGCTTGTACACTCGATGGCCTTTCGATCCAAATACAAAATGGCGGCCTGAAAATCTCGGGCAGGCGCAGAAAGCAAAATTTCGACATTGCTTTTGGGTTGAAAAGTAATGCCCCACTTACGACTTTTACTTTTCTCTCTTTCTTATGCCCTTTTTTTTCCCCTTTCTTTGCCTGAAGTTTCTCCTCACTTGCTGGAAATTTAGTAGGCTTCATTTTGGTGTAGAGATTTTTTAGGAAACTACTCATTATTTTCAAACCACATGCTCAGAAAGGTAGGTGGGTAATGGAAAAAGATTTTCATGCAGATTTTCAGGTCAAAGTTACGTGGTTTTTTTGGCTAATTCTCCAATCTCCTTCACTCAATTGCCCTCATTCTGGTATCGTTTATAAGATATTTTCAACCTGTTTAAGTACGTGCTCAAAGTCGTGCTCTAGGGTTAAAAGTGATGATGTCACAAGACGTAGAAAGGGTGTGGTTCCACATGGGCGCTTACGGGCTCACTGGATGTCAATAGGTTAACCCTAACCCTAAAAGATACCCTAACCCTAACTTTTTCACCTGATTTTACATTAAATAGACCTATTGATTGTTTAATGCTGAAAAGTGGATTTTTCCGAAAAAACTTGGTTCTTTGTTAAAAAGACAATAAAAATTGGACTTCACCCTGCCATTTAAAGAAATCTTCCTAAGATACATTTAGGTTTTCTAATTTGTAATACCAATCCTTAGTGCCAGCACATATTCTTGAATGCATCTTTCTTGTAGAGTTCACACTAATACCACCATAGGGATTGGGGGTATCTATTGACTGAGAGGGAGCGCTGGACTGGAAAATATTTAGCTCGAGGTCATAATGTATGGACTGAGCACAGCGAGACCAAGAACCAAATATTATCCTGTCTAGCCCAGCCAAACTCAGTCAATACACATTTTATCATATGATCATTGAGTGTTAAAAATTTCAACCTAAATAAGATGTAATAGATGGGCGCAACACAGCCACACAAAGGAAAAAAAAAATTCTGCAATTAAAATTTTTCCTTTATTTCTTGAAGTCAGAACAAGAAATTCCCAATTTCTTAAAAAGCACGACTTCTTTTTCTCATTTCTGTTTTCCTTTTAAGTTTTTGCAACAAAGCGATGTGAGGGCAGGGCCAGACAACTTTTCCTGGCCTGTTTCTTGAAAGTTTCGGTAACTTAATGGGCCTATAAAGCTGTTCTGTTTTCATTCAAGATGGGGATTTCAAAAGTTTTGAAAATAATACAATAAAACTATCACCTAAAGAAACAAAATGGACTGACTTGGGTGCCAGAACCTGCTTTTCTATCCTTTAAATTTCTGCACCCCTGCTCAGGTCAACCTGTCTGGCCCTACAATGTGTCAGCTTTCACAAAGGTTTTCTATAGGATCTCCCGAGTGGGACCAAGTGGGTCATGTGATAATACACATTATGCGAGGCACAGCTTTTTACCGCAGCTGAGTGGTCCTTCCTGACTGATCTCATCTGGACACCATATTCTGTGTACATAGCACCCTTTCCTTTCCATGTTGGTCTTTGAACAGCTAATGGCTACAAAAATAAAAAATAAAAAAATAAAAAAGTGACATTGAAAATGTCTTCAGAGTATAGTTTATATGGTTATATTTCATTATTAATGAGCAGTTCTCTAAGTAGTCTCTGCTATATATGTTTTATTTGTTTTAAATTAAAGAAAAATAAAAAATAGTTTACAGGCACACAAGAAATAAACCAGGGGATTAATAGATTTTGTTAGTTAAATCCTAATCTAATTTCTCTTTACAGTAACATCCCCAAATCACACATTAAGGTCACAAGAATAAAGGAAAAGATAGCTAACTTAAAAGAAGCTCTGGATTGTTAAACAAATTCTCCTTGTCAGCATCTTAGGAAATGTATAGAGAACAGTATGGAGAATATGCATCCTGACATTAGGCTGTAAAGGGTTAACAGGCATCAGCAGCTGCAGAGAACTTACAAAGTTTCTTCTGGGGAGGATGAGCATTCTTACAAGTTTTTCAAGTCCATTGACAATGAAATAACCTCCAGCTTCCTACAAAAATAGAAAACAAAACTCTGACATTGTTGAATATGAGATACTGGTCTCTATCACAACAAGAACATCTTCAGCTTTACTCAAAATCAAAGGCTTGGCAACTAAATACAACGCTGTAAAGTGGTCTATTCTACCTCTGCTTCCTCATGCTTGTGAACCAATTCCTGAGGTGAAAGCTTTGCTAAGGAACAGTTTTTAGACTGAAAGGAATGACAACAATATCAGCAATCAGGAAGATTTTCTTACGGTTTTAAAATCATACTAAGTCAGAAATAAACATTTTTTTCTTAACAAAGTTTTAAGGGAAACTACTGACTCATTTCATTTAGCAGATCAAAGCAAAGTTGTTTGAAGGCACACTGAGATGACAGGATTCTCTTAATTTAGCATGGCAATAAAATAAAAATACGATCATTAAATTCAGGTTGATCATCAACTTTACTCTGATCGTCCACTAACTAAATGCATTCTAACACCAGATATTTGTTGATCTGGAATAAAATAACCTTTTCAGCAAAATCCTATTAAAGACAGAAACTTGTATTTATATGCAATGAAAGGCAACCTAAAAACTGGTGTATAGTTAATTTAATGGAGGGTAACACATAATAACAGTTGTTTCTACAATAAAGGTGAAAAGATAACACCTTACCTTGACCATCATAGGTATACTGGCTATAACCTTGGAAACACTTCCTTGCAGCTTGTTATTAATTTTCCATTGCAGAGTGACCTGTAGTTTTGCTTTGTATGTGATCCCACGCTCCCTGCACTAAGATCAAACAAAGTAATGTAAAAAAAATTAGAATATAACTGACTATGACATGAAATGCTAAATATAGCTTACAATGAACTTAGTTACCAGAGGGAAAAAAAAAGGATACTGTTGATTCCATGCATGCTGTTATGTGCTGGCTGAGTTTGGTGCAGAATCTCCTCTTGGATTTCAGTTTTTTTTCAATGCCTACATTCTCTAAATCCACATTTGTTTTGAAAACAGTGGATGCAGAGACACCATACAGATACCTATTTAAAAAATTCAAACTATTTATTCATTTACCTCAGAAGGAAACAACTTCATCTGTGATGCATGCAAGTTGTTTTCTGATACTGTAGGAACTCCAACTGAAGCATCCTGAAATCATAAGCACTTCACTGCACTTGACACAAAGCAACACTGGTTGTAAGGGAGTGCAGCAGAGACATAGCAATTTTAAATGTAAGATCTTGACCTACACTTTAAAATAGTTTGCACTGAAACAATTTTTTCAAATTTTTAGTGAAAAATACAGGCTTAAAAATGAACAGAACTCTTAGTAGTTTGTCATATATAAAGTGCTCTCATCTTTGACAGGCTCAGTCCTGAATCAGTCTGATACCTAAGGGTAGGGGGTGGCTGAAATGGGTCAAGTCACTAAATCAGCCAATCAGTTGGTAGAAAATGACTTCATCAGTTGGTTTATAAGCTTTAATAAACCGTTCATGGAATGAGTTGATTATTACAGTCAAACATGCTCTTATGCAATTTGTTCATCAGTCAGTAGAACAACCTGTTGTCCAATCGATCGAATCACTTGATAATGAGGCCGCTGAAACATAAACTTTGAAACTTGAGATAACTTACGGTGAAGTATATCGTGGCTCTTTGTCCATCTGCAAGCAAGAACTCTTGAGGATGTATGGCCTTCAAAAATAATGAAAAGTTTAAAATACTGCGAATTAAAGATGCAAAACTGTTATAAAAAGTCTGGATGAAAATGCTTAGTAAAGAGAGTTTCTTACCTGAGCTGCTAGGGAAAGCCCTTCTTCCAGCATAAAGTTGAACGACTGTATGTGCGGGTTGACAAGACCCTGTAGTATCTGGAGAATGAAATAATTCGCCAAAAAAAAACTTTTATTGCCAAGGTTAGAAATGAATTGAGAAAAATTAATTGATCAGTACCTCATTTTGTTGTTTTGACAATTTACCAAAGTTGCCAGAGTTTAAATTCTTCAAGTTTGGAACAGCGCTGTTTTGGTCCTGAACAGTCGCCATTTTAAAGTATGCACGTGTTTCTTACCCCTCTCCCCCAGGTATTCAATGCCACACTTTCCTCTTCCAGCGTGAATTCACTTTATTCATTTAAGAACACTTGCCAGATACGAATGTAATCCGATGGATTTCTTCAGAAAAATGTATATTTCATTTTTAAGATTATTTTGTTTCTGAAAAAAAAATGGTACCCAAACAGGCCACACAAGATGCCCAGGTAGATCCCTAGCCACCCCCAGACCGTAGTATCAACCTCAGTCTGCCCCCAGGGGTAAACAGGACATCATATAGCTTCTTACATGAAGACGCTGATTGTCACAGGTTTTCGACAAAATGGCGGACAAAACGGAGCGAAATGACTTTGAACAGAGACTGAAATCCGTCACTAACGACCCGGTAAGGCTAAATTAGTGTATTTTCAGGGTTTTTTGGATAGTTTCTGGTCTTCCATTAGAAGCTTCATAGTTTCTATCTAAGCGCAACTGGGCAATGAATATTTTCAGGAAGCCGAAGAGGATGATGACGACGAAGAAGATGACGATGATGATGAAGAAGAGGAAGGCTCTGAGGAGGATGAAGACGAAGTGGAACCCAAGTTAAAATACGAGAGAATCGGAAACGCTATGAATACAATCCTGAATGGAGAAGAGTGTGCAAGTTGTATGGCAGTCCACACCAAGGTGTGATCACACAGTCTCAGCCCTTCCAAGGTTTCCTTTTGTTCTAATTTCGAGGACCACTCTCTCCCCCTCTTCCCCGCCCGCAATTAATCGTCAGTGCAGGATATGTTGGTCCATATTATCCTGCAAAGCATATGCTCACTCTCGATTAACGGGAATGAACCAGAGCACACAAACTCTAGTGCGGGTTAACTTATGTGCATGTATATATATATATATATATATATATATTTATTAAAAACTAGATCATTGGATAATGCAATTCAAGACTTTTTATTGGCTTAGCCATTATGGTATATCAGCCAATATACCATAATCTACAAATATGGTAAGCGTATGTGTCAGCTTAAAATTAAAAGGGAGCTAAAAATTTAATAATTTAATTTAAGGTTTTTAATAAAACAATTATTCCACTCGCGCTTGTTGGATATGAGATGATTATAGCCAACTCGCTGCTACGCGCCTCGTTGGCTATCTATCATCTCATATCCAACACGCACTCGTGGAATAATTGTTAAATATATCACTAGTTTTATCCCTGACTACTTTGCATGGGGGCTTTTCAAAGACTGATTCGGTTATATGTAATGCTGTTTCTATTTTTCGACATGAAGAGGGATAACAGGTTTACTTTCTGTGCAGCCAGTACTCATATATACCATAACTGTAACAATCTGACAGTGGACAAAAGGAATGTGAAACAGTATTTATTTGATGAGCTGAATTATGCATGCAGTTTTGATTGGTTACTTCTTATAATCTATTTTAGGGGACAGACCTATAGATGAACTCACTGTTAACAATTTTGGCTTGTTTAGTATACAAAACAAATGGATTCCATGCTCCCACAATAGAGTATTAAATCACAAAAGATGTCAAAGTGTGGTAGGAACGTCAATGACACACTCAGCTACACCTGGTGTACCACTTTTATGTTCTTACCACATTTTGTCATCTGTCATCCATTACTAAACAGACATACAGCAACATGAGGTCTATTAACTTTTATTTTTATGTTATGAGATATTTTTCTTTAACTTATTTAGTTTCTTGCTCTTGGAACTCATTATGGAGTTGTTCATATACTGGACCACCAAGGAAACCCAAGTAGTAGTAAAAAGTATCCATCAGTAAGTACAACAATGATAGTCAAAATAGTAATGTTCTGTTAAGATCTATTAATTATTATAATTATCATTGAAATGAAGCAACAAAGCATCCACATAACTTAGCTCCCTACCATTTCTTCTTAGCCCTCTATTTTTATTAACAGCCCTGTGTTACAGGAGAACAATTCCCTACTCATTTTGACCATTGCATCATTTTATTGGACAGAGGGCTAGGAGAGATTAATTGTCATAATTAGGAATATGATAGACTGGTCTAGTTGTATTTTATGAAAAAATGTTAATGTGCTGTCTGAGGTATAACCACCATAAACTATATATCGATAGAAGGGTTATGAAAGGCACTGTCCTGTATTAGTATATTCTAAAACAGTGGATAGTGTTGAAGGCGAGCTCTGATTGGCTAGTCAAACTCCAAATATCCTTTGCTATTTACCACCGAGCAACTTGGGAAAAAATGGTGTCCCAGTTTGTACCCATGACAAGCGAAGAAATCACTCAAATTAACGACGGTGGTGTATAATTTCTCACTGTTTTGGAGTATACTAAAACCAACTAATCACCTCAGTGTTGGTGGTTAGCAGTGGATATTTACCTCCACTTCATTGAATAGTTGTTAATTATTTACTGACAAAGAGCTAACACTCTAAACGTCAGCTTAAGATGCTCTTTACAGTGGCCAATTTACAACTCAGCCTAAAGAACGGGGGAGTGTGGATGACCAAGTCACAGTTAGGTTAAGTTTTATATCTAGTGCCCAGTTTAAATGTCGATTTGAGTATTCTGGACCAATCTGTAGGTGAAGTAATTAAGCACGTCCAAATTAATGCAATCCCAGATTGCTATCTAATTATGCTCAACTGAAAACTGCGCCATTGTTGTTCTTGATTCACATTTCTTAAAAAAATTTCCTTTCAGCACACTACAGCTATCAATCAAATCAGCATTGATCAGAGTGGAGACTATGTTGCCAGCTGTTCGGATGATGGAAGAGTAAGTATATGTCTTAAACCAGTTTAAGTGGGATGTTTTGATTCTTCAAGTTTGTTATATTTCTTTGTGAGCATTTCACACATTCTTTCATTTTAAACTCGTAAGGAGTTAACTTGTCTATGTTTTCTCATCTTCTGACTTGAGTTTTCAGGCTTTCGCCGTGGAAATTGAGGTCTTTCACCTCAATTTTGCAAACCTCTTTTATTCAGACATGGTATTGAACTGTGTTTTAGATAACAGTGTGTAAAGAAGCTTAACTGATTTGTGCTTTTAGGTTGTAATAAATGGCCTTTACAGCTCTGAAAACAATGTCCAAGCCAGTTTTGACTCTCCTATCAAGGTAAGAGGCCATTTTTGCCATTTTAGTTTATGTATTTCTAAGTTAAACAGTTAGACTGCTTATCACTATTTCTGTTTCATTTACAGTCAGTAGCTTTGGATCCTGAGTTCTCCAAGAAAAGAACTAAAATGTATGTCACAGGAGGAACAAAGGTATGCTGTTTTCTTTTTATGAATTAAATGTAGCATCCAGGTTTGCTATCCTGATTTACTGAGTGATATAATAAAAAATTAGCAAGTATTTGCTGATCACGAAAATTTCCCTCCTTTGAAAAGGTTTCATGTTTCATTCCTCCTACCCTTTTACTTCACTGCACTGGTTAGAATTTCAGCATCACTAACCCCCTTCATGCAACTTTTGATTGATATTTTGTGGGTTGAATCTGTTTAATTTAACTTAATATATCTGATTGTCTGCATTGCAGTTGATTTTGACAGAGAGAGGTTGGTTCAGAAACAAGTCTAGTATCGTACATGAAGGAGAAGGAAACATCAGAACAATAAAATGGAGAGCATGTCTAATAGCTTGGGCTGATGACACAGTAAGACTTTTAACTTTGCTGTATTGATCAATTGTTGTTATTTATTTTTGTTTACCTTGAATTAACTCACATGATTGGACTATCTCTCCTTACCTGTGTTTCTTTCAGGAGGTCAAGGTGTTTGACACGAATTCTCACAGAGTAATAACTCATATAAAGAGAGAAACTGGAAAGTAAGTAAGGACATCCTGGTGCAGAACGTTTACATCATCACCAGAATCATCATTCTGTAACAGTTAGTAGCTCCAGGTTTACATCTGTTCCATGCATGATTTTCAGTAAGGGTTGTCTTTGATTTGTAAATTAAATGTTGTGCATTATTTTCCAGTTATAGACCTGAGTTATATCGGTGCTGTCTGTGTTGGAGAGATGATGTTACTCTTTTAATTGGCTGGGCAGACATGGTTCAGGTACCAGATATTTCCATTCCTTCATTGGATCGGTACTGAGTACCCTAGCAGCCAGTGCACAACTGTAAGAGATTCTAGACTCATGTTTTAACTGAAAAGCTTGCTAGAGCAGTAACAGAGAGGACTCAGTAATATTGTATCTCTCTTCAGATTTGTGTTGTGAAAGAAAGGCTGGTTCAAAGGTCAGATCTCCCTCCACTGGTTGTGGAAATAGGTGAGTATCAATTGGAGTGCATGGGCTCATTTAAATGAACATTTTGCCCTCTTAGAATAGCATTATTTAATATTAAGTAATACTGATTTCAAGCCTATTTTTTGTTTTCAGTTGCAAGGTTCAAAACTGACTATTACATTTCTGGAATTGCATATCTTAAAAATGACTTAGTGAGTGTTTTTTGTATAGTTTTATACACATACTTTTGAGTCAAAATATTTCTCATGCAACAATTTCATTTACATTTAGTAAGGATTAGAATAATAAGTCAGTCATGTGAATCGCCAAAGAAAAACCCACATTGCATTTTCAAAATTATAACAATAAAGATTGTGAGGTGTTTGTAACAATCATTTTATGTTGTGAGTATCATTCTGCTGTTTCCAAATGTGTAATTTCTTCAAAAATTATTTTTTGGCAGGTTATTCTGTCCTACATGACAAACATAGAGGAAGGCACAAGAAAGGTCAATTAGCTATTACCAGCCATCTAGCACATATTAAGTACTAAATACTGAAATGAATGAAAGAAAAATAAACCAAATGAATAAAAGTGTTTGTTTTATTATTCACGACCAACAGAAGGGTGAACAGTTAGTTGCACACAGACCACAGCTAAGGATTTTAACACCACATGGCTGTAATGAACCTGAGGAGATTTCTGCAGATGCTTTGTCAGTCAGAGGATTTGAACATTATCGATGTGATGATTATCATTTAGGTACAACTTTGTGTTTTTCATTAGTGACTTTTTCATTGTTGTTGTTGTTGTTGTTGTTTTTCTCTGGTAAGATAAGTTTACATACAATGCAGACAATTGAGGAATTGGTTATCTCAACTTCTTATTGTAAATAGATATCAATCAAATTGTGTGATCATTATAATGAAAACATCATCAATATGAATTATGCAGCTATGTGAACAAGAATTTATTTACAGGAACCAGCACAGCATCTTACATTTTAGAACTCCTGCCATGAATAACAGACTTGCTGTAGACTGATTTCAGATCTTCGCAACATGCAATAAAATATAATTTAGTTACCGGTAAATCCTCTAAGACTAAATTTTGATTGTGAAAGGCTGAGTTTTCTTTTTATTTTTAACAGAAATTGTTATTTACTGTTTTACCATCGTGATGATGGTTTATTCAGGACGGCTTGGATTTAACATTTTTTCAGACAAGTGATTATCTTTTTGTTTACCTCTGCGAAAAATACAATAACTTTTTATGCAACAATACTTTATTTTTAATCAGTGGTTTTCCTCTTGCAAAGTTTGGCTGGTTATACCCTATTGCTGCTGGTGTTCCATAATCCTTTTTTAATCTTCCAATTTGGAAATCTACTATTTGCTGTCATTACTATTATAATTGTTATTATCCCAGTGTTCTTTACTTCATAAGTGTAAAAGTTTGTGGTACTAGTAAATGAGAGAATTGCATCATTATATTAATTGTATAAATCATGACTTTGATGCATGTCTTATCAACTCTTGATACTTGACTTATTGCGCATCTATTAGCATTTCTGCATGATGATTTGGACAGCCCTTCTTCTTTCTTTCATGGTGGTAGGTAACATGTGTGTGCCATCATCTAGACATCATTCAATGAATCAATGCTTGACCCTAGTACTCTTGCTTAAATATATTTTACATCTTTTAACTCCTATTGAGTGCTTGCTATCCACCTTGTCCTTTGGGATGATATTGAAATATGTCAAGTGAACAAGAGAACTGAATACAAAACCACAGATAGCTATGCTAACAATGCTCTGTGGAAAGGGTCTCACTGACAACAAAAAAAAAAACACTGAATTCATTTGATATTAATTTGAACTCTTCATTGAATGAATTGCATGCTAAAATATTAACAAACTTAAGGTAACAGTGATATGGCTAACAATGAAAATAAAATGTAAAATCTTTATTTCTAAAATTGATGTACCAGTAAGTCACTCATAAACATTCTAAACAACCTACTGTATCTCAGTGTGAGTTCTCTGTGGTGTAGAGGGGACGTATTGGATTGGTATTTGAAGGAATGGGTCTCAAAATTCTACCTGGAATAGATTTGGAGAATGTTTTATTCTTATAAACTAAACTTCAGAATTTTCCACTATCAAGCCAAGCCAGCCTGACCTGACAACCACCTCTTTTTAACGTTATGCCAAGTGTTAACGTGTAACTGAATTTCACAGGGGAAGGATCTTTACTCCTCGAAAAACTTTTTAGTTGTGTTTGGTGTGTAAATTTTTCTTGGTGAGACTTTTGATTCACACCGTGCATCAAATTTAGTTTTGTATGATTTTATCTCTGGCAGCAATTTTGTTTCCACTAATTACATAGGATAGGTTGTGATCAACTTTTAATTTTTTTTTTTTTGTTTTTCTTTGCAGAAAATGTTGTGGAAGAGAACCTGTTTTATATTGTTAGCCCTAAAGATCTTGTCCTGGCTAAGGTATATAATGTTGTTTTGTGTGTAGCCTGATAGGCAATTGATGGTTGTTTTACTAACACCTATACTTTTTTCACAGCCCAGAAATATTGATGATCACATTAAATGGCTCATGGATCATGGAAATTATGAGGTATGTGAGAAAAATCAAACTTAACCCTCTCTAACCTAACATCAGATTTAAAATTCTCCATACTGCTCTCTAAATGTTCCCCAAGGTACTGTAGATCCTCTAATAAGCCCCTTGGGGGGCTTATTTATTTCAGGTACTCTAGGGGGGTGGCTTATTAGAGGGGGGGGGGACAATATTAATTTAGCCCGATGTCCACTTCCTAGATACAATGGGATATGATGTACAGTACTTGAATAAATTTCTTCCTCTGAAGAGGGGGGGCTTATAAGAGGGGGAGTTAGT